TATTGCGTGCGCTAAACGAATCTAGTTGAGCCTTTTCGTTAGATATCCTTGCGGCCTTTGAGTTCGCCGTTGTCAAAGTGTCAAAGTGTAAGCCAGCCGGGAGCAAAGGGCTTAAATTAAATTAATTGGTGAACACTTGTAAAGTAAATTAAAATTGCCCGACTGATTGACCGACTGACGGACGAACTGAAGGACGAACTGGCTGACTGTGCTGCTGTTGGCGTCATTAAAGAGATTACAAAAGGTCAAAGGGTTAGCTGCGATTGCTCATAATAGCTGTGGCCTGGCGGCGCCTGCGGCCTGCCCAAAAAATATCTCTGCCTGCCCATCAATGCTTAAATACTTGCTCACAAGGCTGAAAGCGAGTATATTGGTTTGGTTCAATACATATGAATATTAAATATATATATCGATTGTATTACTTGAAAGTAGAGAATGCGATTTTGTAAACACTCTATGTAGATTTATGAATATTGTTAAGAACAAATTGCATATTCTTGGGATTGACCAAAAATTGTTTCAAATCGTTAAAAATTTCCAGAGTTTTTTAGTTGAACCTACAAAAATATTCTATGAATCATGTGACTCATTCGATTTTTGAATAGATTTAAGTATGAATGAACTGCGAACGAGTATAGTGCACGCAGTCACGCCGCAATGCACTCACTTTTTTTTTGAGTGTCTCTCTCCCCCTCCCTCTCCCTCTCTCTGCCTGAGCTATGCAAACAGCACACGCCCAGTTGACATTTGCTTGTCAAACTAATTAAATTTTTGCTGGCCAGCAGCAAAAGAGCCAAATTGGCGCCTCAAATTGGTAATTACCAAGGGCCGAAGTGCAGCTCAAACACGTAAAAGAAAACGAGCTACGCAGCAACTGCAACAGCAGCAGCAGCAGTAACAACAGCAACTAGTGCAACTGCTGCTGTGGCTGCAATTAGCTGAACAGTCGCACTGACAATCAACCAAAAGGCGAGCGAATGACGACGCGTGCATGTGTCCTTTGTGTCCTTTGGCTATAGACAGAGCAAAGGGCGAGGCGATGGAGGATACTGGTGGTGGAGGCGCAGGAGGAGGAGGAGGAGGGCGCGGCGGCACGAGCAGTGTTGCCTAATTACTTGTAAGTTTGGCGAATTTGTGGCAAGGCGCCTGTGCGCTGCAGTCAAACCAAATTCAATTTGATCCCACACTATGCCATGGTCGGTCAGTTGCCATGGCACACCCACTTGCATGTCGGCCGGATGCTGACATCGCTCGCGCACATGCACATCCGTATCCGGTTTCCGGTAGCGACAACGATAACGACGCCTCCTTGATTGCCAGCGCGTAATTATTTTTTAAGCACTTTGTCTCTCCAGCAAAATTAGACTTAACAAAGCCAATTCCCTCTTTTTTAGCTTCCTTTTTTTTGCAGGGGAGGGGCAGTCCTTTTTAATTTTCTTCTTTTTTTTCTGTCTATACCCTGTGCGGAGTGGAGTGGAGTTTAATCTACTTGTAGAAGAGAGATTTGTTTAAGTATATTTGCTTCTAGTCTGAATATGTTATATGGTATTTGGTCTGGCATTAAATATTTATAGAAATTTATTTATTTGCTTTACCTGTCGTGGTCTATTGTTTTATATTGCATAAGGAGCATCCATGCCTGCGAAATGTGGCTTAGTTTAGTCTCATATGGAAATCAAATGCTTCGCTTCGTTTGTCCTAAAAATATTATGAATTTCATATTTCGAATACAAATATATTTTCTAATATTTAAATTTTCTACTTATAGTTAATTTCAGTCATAATAAGCCTAATTTATATTTTTAAAATTTTTAAAATATTTATTTTTATTGGATATTTAAAAAATGTGAAAAAAAAAATAAATTGGGTTTTTTTATTTATATGTTATATATATTTATTTATATATTATTTAAGAGCATTACAAAATTTCTTGTTGAAATGAAATCCAAATTTTTGTATTTAAGCTCTTAAAAAAAAAGACAAAATAGTTAAAAAAAAATAAATAAAATAAAAAAGTTCAAATAGTAGTAGTAAATAGTAGTAGTAGTAGTAAATAGTAGTAATGGCAGTTGTAAATAGTAGTAGTTGTAAATAGTAATACTAGTAGTAGTAAATAGTAGTAATAGTAATAGTAAATAGTAGTAATAGTAGTAATAAATAGTAGTAGTAGTAGTAAATAGTAGTAGTAAATAGTAGTAATAGTAGTAGTAAATAGTAGTAATAGTAGTAAATAGTAGTAATAGTAGTAATAGTAGTAATAGAAGTAGTAAATAGTAGTACTTGTAGTAAAAAATAGTAATTAAATAGTTGTCTATCTGTCAATCAACATATCTCAATGTAAAAAAAAAAAAAAAAGAAAAAAAAAATTAAATTGATTCAAGAGCCTACAGTTCCACCTGAGGTCTTTCTACAGGAAATGTGCAGGCTCAGCAGTTTAAATTATAGATTCTATATAATGACATAGAGCCATAATGTATATAGAGCCCTACTGCAGGTGATTCTCTACTACAGGGTATCGGCTAGTTCAACAATTGAGCTCTGTACTAACTGCTGATGCTTTGTGGGGCATTTTGTGGACGCTGTTGAAATTTGACTAGCAGTCAGCGAATGCTTAGTCGTGGGTCACACTCAACATACACACCCATACACACACACACACACACACACACACACACACTCGTTATGTTGTTGCTTCGCTTGCTTTTCGCTGCTCTTCTCGCTTTTGTTTGGTTTTGCTTTCGTTCGTTCTCTTCTTTTCGCATTTTCATTTTTTTTTTTTTTTCGGCTGCTTTGTCCAATTAGTAACAGTTTGGGTTACGATTTCATTTCTTTTATTGTGGCTCGTTATCCTTTTTATTTTGGCCCGCTCCGCCTGTTGGCAGTGGGCAAATTTGATATCCTTGTTATGGCAAATTGTTGTATGTACTTGTACAATTATTTTCGCTGCCTGACGACGCGACGTCCGCGCTGTGGCGTTGCGTGCAAGCTCTCACTCTCTCTCCCTCTCTCTCTCTCCCTCTGTCTCTCTCTTTCATTCTCTTTGTGTCTGTCCCTGTCGGCAATCGAATTGTATTTATGTTTATTTATGCTGTTGGGTAAAAGCCGTCAGTGCACTCGACGCTGCTGTTGCCGTATGGATCTGTATCCTTGGCGTCCTTGTTCATTGTCCTGGCCGCAACCAGCCCGACCCGGCCCGGTCCGGCCCGGTCCGGCCCAGTTCAATATTGTCGCCCCTTCGATTATTTATGATGCTCGCTTGCAGCCGCCGCTCGCGCCGCACGTCCCAGCGGGCCTGTGGCCAAGTTTTAGTAGTCATCGTTTGCCCAGTAATAAATTTATGCTTTTTTATTTCCTCCTGTCATAATTTTACCCTCAAATACACACACATGCACACACATGGCACACACATTCATCCGCTTATATAAAGTGCTTGGGCATTTTTCTTCGCCTCGTGCAGCATTTTCTTCTCAGTTTGGTCTCCCGCCTCCTGCTAAGCTTCGAGTCCTGTCTAAAAATTTTTCCAATTGATAAATTATTTTATGGCAAATACACAAATTTTCTCATACGCATGGCCAACATGCATGCATGTGTGCGTGTGTGTGTGGCTTTTTCTTGTTGTTGTGGTTTGGTTTTCGATTTTCCTTTTGGGTTAGCTCCCCGCGTCCCTTTTCTCTTTGCTCTTTGCATATTTCCCTACACACATAAAAAAAAACTCTGCCTGGGTCTATATGAGCCCCTGTCTTTGTGTGTGTGTGTGCCTGTGTGTGTAAGTAATATTCCTGTGTATTCCTGCATATTTCCGTCCATATCCTTTAGGCCTGGCTTGTCATTGGCACGACGTCGTCGCCCACTTTCTCGCACAGCTCAAACACATAAAATCAATCATATTTGCTGGCCATATTTGCTACCCTCACACACACCATTCGCCTCTCTCGCTCTCTCCCCCCCTCTCTCCCTTTTTTTTACGCTTTGTCTTTTTGTTTTGTTTACTTGTGCCCCAAATTTGTTGCTTCGTTTGTCTTTGCTTTCAGTTTGTGTTCCTGCGCTCGCTCAGATTTATGTCTACTCCTTTGCAGGGTATCTAGACAGTCGTGTATGCCCGGTGTTCGTAGCGGCTAACAAATACGCAACAATTTGTTAAGCATTTAAGTTTCTTGCGGACTGCGCTCGCCCTTAAAAATATGCAACATTAATTTTAATAGAATTGTTTATGGGGCAAAGTGGGCGTGGCCGTTGCTAGAGTAAATGATGCGCAGTTAGTTTATGTTTCGCCATTCTCCCATTCTCCATTCTCTCGCTCTCTGCGTGTGCTTTCTGTGTGTCATGCATGCTGAACTGCCATGTCATATTAAATGTAGATGCTGTGCCGCAAAAAAAAAGTGGGAAAAAATGTGGAAAAAAACGTGGAAAAAAACGAAGGAAAATGCAAAGCAAATACCATAGGAAAAGCCGCGCCAAATCAAAGCCAACAATATTTTTCAGGATTATTTCAGTTGGCTTGCTGTTGAGTGCACAGACTGAAACAGAGATAGTGTACGCGAGAGCGAAAGAGACAGAGAGTGGGAGAGAACCTTTGGTGACACAGGAAACAAAAAGAACCAGAATTTGGTACCCAACCAAAAATTTCTGTTAATTTGGCAGCGTGCGCTGTGTGATTTTTTTTGCATTTTTTTGTCAGCGCTTAGATTTTTTTGCACGCTTCAGTCCCTGCAACAACAACAACAACGATGATAAACTGACATAAACTGCAGTGGCACCCCTCGCAGCTACATATAGATATGCAAAATGCAGCGAATGCACATAAATTTTAGGGTTTTGCTCGACGCTTATTTGCATAGGAATTATGTATTTGGGCACAACGGCTTAGCAGCATTAAACAACACAAACACACACACACACACACACACACTCACACGTCTGTGGGCATATTGTGGTTATGTTGAAAAACTCAGTCTCTCTATATGTAATATATAAAATGTGTTTTTGTTTCTATTTTGCAGCTATAAATTTTGCAAAACGGGCAACAGGAAAATGCATTGCTGCAGAACAAGCAATTAAAACAGTGAACGCCCAAGCTCAGACAGAGACGGAAGCTGAGAAGAAGGTGCAGCAAAGATACATACAGAGAGTGTGTGTAAGAGAGAGAGAGAGGGAGAGCAAGTGCACTGGGCAAGTGTCGACTGCTTGGACCTGTCCCTGAACGCTGTGTGCTAAAAACCTATTTTGAATAATTAAAATTGTGTAAGTGTTGCTGCTGCTGTTGCAGCAGTTGCAACTTTTGCAACAACAACAACAACAACAACAATAACAACAACAATGATATAATTAATTCAATGCACCTGAATACGGCAGCTTACAAACGAAACTCTTTCAAATCCAATTGAGTGCAACAGCCGCAAGAGCAACAACCAACAACCACAAGCAGTGAAACAGTAGAAGCAGAACAACAACAACAACAGCAACAACAACAACAACATTAACAGCAACAACAACTTGAGACAGCTTTAAAATGGCCGCAATTAGCCAATGCAAAGACAAGCGAAGACACATCCGCAACAGGACACATCTGGCTGAGGTCCTGCGCCGCACTCTGCCCATTGGCATCATCGTCGCCCTGCTGCTCACACAGCACTGGGAGAGCGGTAAGTAGCTGCTCTATTCTTGTCGCCCATTGTAGTGCTTAAGCAGCCCAATAGACCTAGTTGCCCGCCGTAATGCAATCTGTCTGTCCGCTGCTCTCGGGGCACAGCTGTCAACGAGCGTTGAAATATCAGCGCGCATAGATTGCAACTGGGGGCGGCGAGTGGGCGTGGCGTGTGCCAGGTTCGCGTTGGGACATTCAATTTGTGCAAGGTGAAGCTGCAGAATAAAGAATGGGGAGTATGCATATACTTAAGTACTGTTTAATAGACTGGGAGATGATCATAGTTTGGAATAGAGTAAGGTTCCCCAAGGCGACTTTAATGAAAATTCTAAGCAAAGCACTGAGGAGGCACAGAAATATTTAGCTCACTGTTTGAGTGATTTATTCACTGAGAAAATATAAAATGCCTAAAGAACATGGAAGGTTTAAGTTTATTTATGAACTGATGATCAGATAGATTCCTTGAGTTACGTTTGTGAGAGTTAAGCACAAAGTATGTGTCCGAATTAGTGCAGAAATATTCAGATTATACACTGAATGATTGACTGGCTGAGGATCATATTAAAGAGTATTGAAACTCGAAGCAAGGGTATGCTAAAAAGACTAAAAGACTAAAAAAAAACTATATAGCTTGCTAGTGAGAGAAATACATTCAAAGATTTATTAGTCTGTAAGCTTGAGTGATTGATTGATATACCCAACTGAGTCAACCAATCAATGCGTATGCCAAGCAACAATTGAAATTGTGAGATCCAAATATAGATTTCAAATTACATATATGAAATATATAACAATGACATAAATAAATTTTTATTCACCTGATTTAATGAACTTTAAGCAGAACTTTTAAAATTCTTCGATTAAAATATGTAAATTATATTAAACTATTTTACGGAGTGCTTAAAATGAATATTTATATAAAAATAAGTTAATATATATAGTTTATATTAAAGTATAAAAATAATATAAAACTAATTCAGAGCGCGTCTCAAATGAATATTTATATATTAACATACATTTAATTAATATTTATAGTTTAGATTAAAATATGAAAATAATATTAAACTTTATTAGAATGAATAATAATATATTAGCTAATGCAATATTTTGAGTATGAGGTTCGCATTGATTTTTATTGTATTTATTCTCTTACACCATTGAAAATGGAAATTTGCACTGCATTTATTTTGATCAAATGTAAAGCACAGGCAGAAGAGGGCGTGGCAAACACAGATCATGCATTTCCAATCAAGGCATCAAGCGTCCGTCTATTCATAAACAATAAATATATTTTAGTGTGTATTTATTCTATGTCATATATGTATTAAGGGATAGCTGCTCTCCTATCTCATTCATTCAAAAAATATAAGAAACTTATACCAGGCAAGGCTTTGGTTATTCAATAGCTCGCAGCCAAGTTCCATTTAGGATACGCCTAACTGGAACACTCTGTCTTATTGTTCTCTTAAAATAATTGACAGAATTTTGTTTTATTTTTTATATATAAATTAGAATGTGAAAGTGCTTAGAGCATAACATAAATTCAATAATAATTGTTATTTAAACTACTAAGAAAATAGCTCTTGATATTTTATTTATTTACTTGCGCTTGCCGTAAACTCAGTTTTCCGCAAGAAAACAAATTGGCAAAAGGCCTAAATAAAAGCCAAATTTATTTACAAATTTGTTGGCCAAATTATTTGTAAGAGAAATAAATTTTTATATTTTATGTCTTTATCACGAATGAAATTTGAGAACAACAAAACGAGAGCTGAATGAATATAAGCAAAATGCAATGAATTAAATTGGTTTGTAACATAAGAAGATGCAACAAATTGAAAAGGCATAAATGAATTAGCTTAAGCAACTGACTCGGAGTCAATCAACAAAGAGTTTTTTCCATTGAAATCGGCAGCTGCTAAGCTGCTGTGCTTCGATTGGCAGAGCTCGGGCAATTGTGGTTGGGCTGAGAATATCCTTGTTGAATTAATGTCAGTCGAGCAGATAAATATTTCAAAGGGCGAAACTTAAGCAATTAATTTCGCTAATTGCTTTTCTTCGCAACGTTTTTGTTTCGAGTTGCGGACGGGGCGATTGGTAGACGGCGGGCGGGTGCAAGGCGGGGCGAGGCGAGGCTGGCTGCGTTGAGTTTTGCATTCAAATGCATTTCAAGGACTCAACTTTGGCGCCGCACAAAACTCAATCTGACATTTATGCGAATGTCCACGGTATCAAATAAGAGTAATGACATTGCTGGGAACACTCAGCCAGCGGCCCCGCCCAGCCCGAGCGAGCCAGAGAACCAGAAGCAGGAATCAGGAAAGAAAGCAGCAGTAGCAGCGTCTTGGGACGTTCACATAGACAGTGCAATGTCCTTTGGCTACTCAAACATTCCAGTGGCTATTAGTATTCATATCTTGACTGAACTTAACTGAAAGCTTAAACTGCTGCACAGTCGGGAAGCGGAGGTAGGATTGTCGACCTCTCACTCTCGCTCTCTCTCCCTCTCTCTCACGCTCTGTGAGCGTTTTGCATGCATTTTCATTTTGTGCTGGAATTGCTGAAAAAGATGCAATTAAATTTTAGGACAAGGGGTGTCAAGCTGCGCATAGAATATTCGAGTGTAGCTGCTATCTCACTCTGTCTCTCAATCTACCTCCCTCCCTCCCTCTCTCTCTCTCTCTCTCTCTCTCACTCTGTCGGTCTCTTTCGCCTTGTGGTTGCAGCTGCTGTCAGTGGCAAGAAGGCATTATTAATTTATTTTTCCAACTTGCAAGATGAATAAGCAAAGAGCAAAAATGTACCACGACTGACTGCACTCTGTGCCGCCTCCTGCTCCTCCTGCACGACTGCAGTCGACCAAAAATTTTCTATTTAAATGTCGCTGCGCTTGCCCTAAAAGTGCCGTTCCCACTTCCACTTCCACTCGCACTCCCACCTCCCCCCCTCCCCTGGCAGTCAAATCATTTTGCATGCAATTGCGATTTTGGCCAAGTTAACAAACGTTGACGTGCTTCGACGTCAGCTCACAACGCTCGCCGCTTCAATCTGCTGTCCATCAGGTTTGGCTTCGATCGTGTTGCTGCCAGCAAAGGAAATAAAATCCAAAAGTGAATAATGAACCGCAAATAACTTTACTTTGTGCAGCCAAGTTTGCACAGAGCACCACCCACCCGGCACCACTCAGCACCACTCATCAGCCAGCAGCCAGCAGCCAGTGGCCGTCATTCGCCATTTGAATTGCATCCGTTTCTAACCAAATCCAACATGCCGCCATTCACGCTGTTGTTTCAATTGCTGCGGGACGTTTGTCTGCGCTATCAGCCAGCAGCAACAGCAACTCGCAACAGCAACTGCTGCTGCTGCCGCTGCTGCTGCTGCCTCTGCTGCTGCAACTGCAGAAGTTGTGTCAGTGTCGGTAACAATTATTTCGGTTTGTAGTTAGTTGAGCTGAGTTAAATTTGGTTTGGTTTTGGTTAGGTTTCGTTCCTCTTTTTTCCGAGCTCCGTATACTCTAGCAGCGAGCTGACTAACTCTCTTAGACAGCTTGTAACGAGTTGTGGCTGCGCTTTGGGTGTGAGCAATATACACAGCCTTATGCTGGGAGCAGCTGTTGCTTAGCTAGTGAAATTTTTGCTTGCTAAAGAAGGTGATTGGTAATTGAGGTGATAAGAGAATGGGTTGGTCACTATAATTATTGAAGATAGATTTTATATACCCGAGACCAAACAAGAGATTTGATAATAATTTTGGCTTAGCAAATAGCATTTGAATCTGAGCTTATTATACAAAAAGTAGAATGAATACAATTTTCAATAGGTTTTGGGTATAAAAACTAATTTATAGATGTGAATGAATTATATAAAACGGCATTTTGCTGAAGAAGCTTTCATTTTCTTAAGCAGTCAGTTCTTAATTATACTCTTTAGACTTAAGATTCTTGGCACTGAAACTTTATGGAAAAAGTTTAATATCGGCTTCAAAACAAAGTTGGCTTTGAGGTATCCAAACTAAGACCTCCATGGGGTAGCTAAAAAAGTTTTTAAAAATATCTGCGTCAGTCTTTAACTACTCCATCAGCGAGCTGTCATAGCAAACAGCTAAGAGTGGTTTAAGTTTTGTATGGAAAAATATTTCATGTCTCACAAAATTCATAGATTAAAGAGCTTAATGATGTTTATGCTGCCTTCAAGATGTTTTAATATATATATATTTAGTTTCTTGCGAGAATGATGGAAGAAGTTATGAAGAATGATGGAAGGTATTATTCATAAGGCTTAGCATTCATCCATTAAAATAACTCTTAAAATTTTTTAGGCTTTATACATTTGAAGTGTATTTTAGCTTTCGCATTTATAAATTCAAAATGTTGTAGCTCCATTTTTATTACTCTTTTATTCCCTTGCTTTTTGCTTTAAATATTTGCATTTGCGGCTGCAGTAGTCAAACCCCAGTAGCCAGCCCCCGCCCCAGCCTACAGCAGAGCCAACAATTCAAGCTTATCATTTTGGCCTGCTGACGAAGTGCAAATCGCTTTATGAATGAATGCCAACTGATAGCGGAGGCTGCAAAGCGCATGTATTTCATTTCATTTGAAATATTTGTCTCGAAAAAATCACACGCTGTGGTTTATCTACAGTCCACACGAGATGGGACTGGGAATTGGGATTAGATTAGGGTTGGGGGTTGGGTTTGGGGTTGTAGATCGAGTTTGGGTTCTGGTTTAGTTATCCATACCCCCAACTAATCAAATTGACATAGGTTTACCTGCGAGCCAACTTGCACAAACTTTGCCGAAAAACTTTCGATTTTCGTAAACTTTGCACTGCTGTCCCAGATAAGAGTTCAATGTAACTGAAATTTATTAACTGCTGTGCGAGCACATGCAAATAAATCAGGAAGAAAACAAAAAATCTCTATGTATAAATAAAAATAAAAATAACAAAAATAATAAAATAAATGATAAACTCGAAACTTTGCGAGGTGGTAAGGGTGGCG